TATATGAGGAGTTTGGTGCAGATCATTAAACAATGTCCTGCTGCATTCGATGCGTCTTCACGTAAACAAACTGACTGAAACCTTCTTCGTCTGCTTTAATATTTTTGTTTGCTTCATGTCCCATCTACTAACATGAGCTGTTTTCAAAAACACACTGAGCTCCAGCTCCTTGTATTGTCTCCAGGGGAGGTTCATGTGTGAAAGCAAATGTCAGAGTGAGGCGTTCCGCCCCGATCTATACTACACCCAGTCACCAGGGGGCGATTGACACACACACGCACGCGCGCACACACACACCATGGAGGGAACAAATGGTGCCAGAATTCCTCCGACTCTGCAGGACATTGAACACACCCCCAAACCAGCGTTCCTGAAACACACACAATAAAAAAAACAAACAGTGAAAACTCTTTTAGACTCAAACTTTATTGAAGTCCTCGCTCTGTTAACAGTCACAGAGTCACTACACACAGTCTGAGTGTTCAACATGCAGTTCACCTGATAACTGTTGGGTAGAGCTCTGACGTGTAGATGTAGGCGATGTTGAACGCAGCGCTGACCATCAGTTTCCCCAGAAGTGCAAACGACGTGACGCTCAGCAACGTCCCTACAGACAGGAGTTGGTTTATTTATTTGACCGTTGTGTCTGCCGCTCCGTCTCCAGCTCAGAATAACTGTTGTCTAACTGTTGCCTCCCACCACGACGGCTGCATCTGTCTCACCTGTGTTTTCAGGGATGAACGTGGTGCAGAGGCAGGCGATGCCGGCCAGACACAGGAAGCTGGCCATGCTCTTCCTCCTCCCGGCCCTGCACAACAAGCCACAGCACAGCACTCAGGGATGAACAGACACTCCTCACACTGTTGATAACAGCTTTAATTCAAACAACTCAACAGACAGAACTAAGACGGATCTGTTGATCAATGTGTGTGTGTGTGTGTCTCACCAGTGTTTGTTGATGAAGTACATACAGAGCGGGTATGCGGGCAGCTCCACCAGACCGTACATGGCCACGTTTACATAACGGTTGCCAGAGGTTTCACTGGCTCCAAGAGTCAGACCATAGTACACCAGACTGCACGCATACCTGCAACA